CTGTAATCCGTATGTAATAAGAGTGTATTTTCATTTATTCATTCACTATTTGCCAATGTAAAAGATTCGTTCTTTCCCTCCTGTTTTTCAGATTCCAAGTACAATAGAGGATGTGTCAGTGTACCGCGAAATCAAAGAGGTACTACAAAAGCTTGGTTACGCTAAATTAGCATTGGATCCTCAATGATACGTGTAGTTAAGCGTTCCGTCAGCTATTTTTTTTTTTATTATGAACATTACGAATAATCGTATATAAAATGTAATAAACCTACTATGGTGTACAGTTAATACACGTAAGAATATTCTCGATAAACATGTGATTCGATTCTTGTTTCGATTGTATCGAAATTTTGGAGCTCGTCATCGTAAACAGTAATGAAGTAATTTAATATAGTCTCACTCACCGTAAGGTCTTTGCTGAAAATATGATTTTAACTGAACAGCGAATATGACGTGTTGCAAACGATAAGAAAATCATATCGAAATTGATCTAATATATTCTTCCAATATTATTAGGAAAAAGAAAAGGAAAAATGAGTCTTGGAATATTTCTGCAATTTTCCATTAGACGAACATATTCTTCATACATGTTATTATCACTTTGTATTACTGAAATCATGGAAAAGTAAGAGAGAAAGAAATAAAACGTATCATCATGTTTAATGCTCTGATCATAATATTATATTAACAATTTAAAAAATATAACAACCATAAAACGAACGTTGCCGAACAATTTAGCAAGGAATAAAATTGTTTCTGAAAAGCTTGGTTTTGCTTCTTTTGTTAGTAAACTGGTCTGATACAAAGAACGTGAAATAAAACAGAATGATTAATGTAGAAAGTAAAAAGAACAATGGACTAAAAAAAAATGCGGATGTTTTAGTGTTCTTAAAGAAAGAAACTTAACAGCAAAGAAAAAAATGAAGCAGTAATACATGTAAAGAAAGCACTCACAGAATATCTGCTTTGAAAATTCTCTATATTAACTTCCTTTTCGGTTAAATCTCGACATTAATTTTTCTTTTTATCGCATATAACGCTATAAATCATCGAAACCCTTTTTTCTGGAAAAGCACAAGTGTAAGAATATCTGGTGTTATAGACACGTAGTACATCGAATACAATACACGAACCTTGGCGCCGTCAAACACCAATCGTATTAACAGAAACAGTACGTGCAAGAAAAAGCAAATCAACCATACACATGAGACCCCTTTTATCAAAATTAGTAGAGCACATATTTTTGTTGCAAATTTGTTTTTAATGACAATGTAATAAGAAACAGTATAATAATAATGGTAATAATAATATTAATTTTATAATTATAAATTGT